ATTATTCATACGAAAAGAAAATAACAAATGAAATTAATATTAAGCACGAAATCTCGATTAATGACGCCTCTCTGGAGATAACGGTACGGTTCTCGCAATTATTCGACTGGCGTGGCCCTTTAGCCCGCGCTTTTCGATCGGAGAGGGACTCGGTGGACGCTCGCGAGACGGCAACGTCACAGTATATATTTATAATTATAATAAATATAAACTTATACATATATGTTTTGTGCATTATAAAATAAAATGTAGTTAATTAATAGTTAGTTGTCTTTATTGAATTCCCGAAGACTTACAAGGATTTCCTGAGGCTCCCAAATCAATTATTCATACGAAAAGAAAATAACAAACGAAATTAATATACGGAACAAAACCTCGATTACAAACGCCTCTCTGGAGACAACGGTACGGTTCTCGCTATTTTTCGACTGGCGTGGCCCTTTGGCCCGCGCTCCGCGATCGGAGAGGAATTCGGCGGACGCGCGCGAAGATGGCAATGTCACAATGTATATATAACTTTTGTCTTTATATTTATTATTATTTTTATTTTTTGCGTTTTTGTCGTAGTATCGTCTGCAGCTAGCAACAAAACCATAGTGAAATATAGCACCGAACCTATTACCAAAAACTAGCATGCTAGCACGCACAGCAACACGCAACACATAATATTTCAAGTTGCATAGCCATTATAATTGCTAGCAAAATGTCTCGCATGCGATCTAGTACGCAAAATCGTACCGTGTGCCGCAGGCTTTAGAAGTGACTGCACTAAACCAGGTATGAGGGGAATGGCAGTGCTTGTCAAAAACACTTTTATTTATTCAGTGTTAGACTTATCTAGGAATCTGGACATTACCGTGGAAGCAATTGCTCTCCGTTTATTTACCCGTCAAGGGCAAATTATCATCATTAGGGTCTATCGTCACCCCAATGCTCTGACTTCGAATAGGTCTATTTACAATCTTATTAATCTGATTAGCTCTCACAGGTTTTCATTAATATTAGGTGGCTTTAATGCCCACCACCCTCTTTGGGGGGCCCAGCGAAGCAATGCACCTGGAAACATAATTGCTAATGCTCTTAACGACAGCAATGCTGTACTGATAAACCCAAACACTCCCACATTCATTGCGCACCCCTCTCGATCTTCCACGCTAATTAACCTTGCAATCGCGTTAGCGAGTGCAGTCCCACTATGTGAATGCAATATAATGGAAGACTCACTCAGCAGTGATCACTTTCCGGTTAATGTTCATTTTAATTGTCTAATAGATACTACGAGTATCTTCTCGCACAAATTCAAAATATCTAAGGAGCAATGGCTACAAATCTCAGCCGATTTGTCAAGTGAATTACAAACCATTTGTGACTCTGTATCGGAACTAGGAGATAACAATCCAATAGATCAATATAATTATCTTTATGTACACATCACCGAAATTCTTAGCAAATATTCGCCTACATCCAAAACCTCTCAAATTAAAAAATTCAGGTGCCCTAACGGGACACGGAACGGACCGCCTCCGGCTCCCTGGTGGACTAAGAAATGTTCAGACGCCGTAAAAAAAGGAAAGACATGTGTAAACTATACAGGCATACCCCCACTGTCGAAAACTATAACAAGTACACCCAGGAAATTTATAACTGTAGAAAGGATCTGAGAAATACCAAGAAACTAAATTGCAAAATATATTGTTCTAGTCTGAATGCACGCACCCCTACTCCGGAAGTCTGGAGGATGCTCAAAAGATTTCGCAATTGTCGACTCACCCCCTCCTGCGACTCGACTAACAAGGTCGGCAATCATGTCGAAGACAACCCAGTCATAATGGACACAATCAGCCGAATTTGCCCACCGGCCTGCTCTCCTCAAAGCGTTGTTGATCTCGTGCAAGACGAGCCACTCTACAATGGTCCTCACGCATGGATGGACTCTTCCTTCGCTTATAAAGAGTTTGAAGCTGTACTAGATTTGGCTAAACTCACTTCTAGTCCTGGACTCGACAAAATAGACTATAGAACTTTACAAATTCTCCCATACTATTTAAAAGTGCTTCTTTTCAGAATTATTGATAACCTCTTCACACAGGGCAAATTTCCAAAAGAATGGCGTCACTCACTAGTTTATCTCATCCCCAAACCACACGGAGGAGGTGTCCGCTTTATTGCACTCACCTCCTGTTTGTTGAAATCACTGGAGAAACTCATACTTAACAGATGGTACTGGTATATCGAATCAAGCGATGTTTTACCGGATTTTCAATATGGGTTTAGAAAATTTAGATCTTGTCAGGACAATCTAACAACTCTCACGTCTGAAATCTTTTCAGGCTTTGTGCAGGATTGGGTCACGGTTGCAGTGTTCATTGACATTAAAGCGGCATTTGACAACGTCATTCCTCATATTCGACGACTTGAAAGAGCTCACACTGCCGCCTAGAGTCTTAAAATTTAGCGAAAACTTAATTCTCTCAAGGACAGTGCAGTTTGTCATTCAGGGACAGCTCTCAGAGTCCCTTTTGTCCCGTAAAGGCACGCTACAGGGCTCTGTGCTTAGCCCCACCCTATTCAACTTATATCTCAGAAAAATTTCCTCTATCCTACATTGACATACCAAAATTCTGCAATTTGCTGACGACATAGTCATTTACTCATTGTCATCAAGTGCTGCTAAAGCACGTAATTCGGTGGAACGCTCCCTCTCTAATATAGACACATTTTTACATTCCAAGGGTCTAAATATCTCACCGCAGAAAACGCAGATGATGGTATTCTCATGTCGAAACATTTGCTCTATTGTCGGCCACATTATCTTTAATGACACTACTATCAAACCAACTCAAACTGTTAGATTCTTAGGAATATTATTAGACTTCAAGCTTAATGGAAATGCTCATATGGAATATATTATCAACAAATCCAGAAAAATTGTACAGATTATCTCTGCTCTGCGTGGGGTATGGTGGGGTTCGCATCCTCAGCTTCTGCTCACGGCATACCGCTCGTTATTAAGAATCTCTATAGAATACGCCTGTCAAATATTTGGTCTTAAAAACTTTACGTATCTCCACCCCAATTAATGTCATGTTTGCTGAAGCCACAGAGCCTCCTCTTACGTATCGCTTTTGATATCTTATTTCAAAATTCTTGATTAAAACTTTATCTGTTGTCGACCACCCAGTAGTAAATCGTTTTGAAAAGCTCTCAGATACCATTACCAATAATCCCAAAAATTTTGAGTACCTCTCGTCCAGTTTTCAGGCGATCAACCTCTTTCGGCAACTAGCCCCTCACAAGCAAGCCATATATAAATATGTTACCCTTCCTCAATTCCAACATTCGTATCATTCCATGTATCTCTCCCCCGAAATTATATATCCTCAACAGGACTTTCTGGATAAACTGGAACAATTCCCCAAACATTACGCACAAAGCATTTTTATGCAGGCCTTCGGTAAAATTATAGAAGGAACGGTTACTCTATACGGATGGGTCTAAAGTCGATGATAGCACATATGTGGGATCTGCCTGCTATTCCCCCCTACCGAGAATTCAACTTATGCATAAGATTCCATCCCAAGCCTCTGTTTTCTCTGCGGAGGCTTGGGCGATATATAACGCGATTTTACTTATACTTGACATCAATGCTCCAGAAGCAACTATCATCTCCGACTCTATGAGTGTGCTTAAAGCACTTCAAAAAACTACTCTTATTGTTAGTCAAAACAATTATTTAATCCCGCTTATAAAGGCGAAACTCGAGACGGCGCGCGAGCTAAAAATCCACATTCAATTTATTTGAATCCCGTCACATAGAGGGATTCATGGCAACGAAAAGGCTGATAAATTAGCCAGACGAGCAACAAAAGAAGGTATAACGCAGTTTTAAGGTCCCTTATTCGGATTTCTTTTCTGTTTCCAGAGAAAAAATTAAACTTTGACTTTGATAAATACATTGAGCACTGGGCTAGATTTAAGGGCACTTTCAAGCGTTCTTTGAGAAAATCTACAAGAAATGCAGGAAACCTTGGTATTATCGCACTAGCCTTACCAGGGAAGCCATAGTTACAATTTCACGCATTCTAACCATTACAATCTTAATCACAGTCTATTTCGAAAAAATTTATCTAACAACGATGCCTGCCTGTGCGGATATCCCTCCCAAGATATTAATCACATCGTGTTTCATTGCCCTAATACACGAGATAAATCTTCGTATCTAAAAACCGCTATTGCTAATTTGGCTGAACCTCGAACTGATAATCTTTTTGACATTCTAAAAAATCCATCTGGCATAATTTGTAGATTAATCACTGTTTCCTTAAAAGCATGTAAAATGAACATTTAAAATTCCCGCTGCGCCGCGTGGTTACTCCATGACATCGCACCGTCGCCCTTTCTGATCCCTTTAACCTATACTGGAACACACCGAACCGTTTCGGCACGCATCTCCACACTGTAGAATCAAACTGTTAACAAGTTCATTACGATTAAATCTATAAAGGCCATCACACACAAAATTCCGTAAGGACATAATATGTAAGCGTAAGAAAACTGCCCAATCGAGTATTGGGCTCTCCATAAAAGTGGAGGGGTTACGGAGAGCCAAATACTCGATTGGGATTGGTCGATTTTCTTACGCTTACGTCTTACGTCCTTACGGAATTTTGTGTGTGATGGCCTTTACGGATACGCCTCTGTAAACATAAGTACATTAAAGGCTATCAGACACAAAATTCTGTAAGGAAGTAAGACGTAAGCGTAAGAAAATGGACCAATCCCAATCGAGTATTTGGCTCTCCGTAACCCCTCTACTTTGACGGAAAGCTCAATACTTGATTGGGATTGGTCAATTTTCTTATGCTTACGTTTTATGTTCTTACGGAATTTTGTGTAATGGCCTTTTACGGAACGCCCTCATTTAACGCCACTTCCGTATTCATCATACGTAAGGTTCTGGCCGTATTGACCCTCGACCGAGATTCGCTCGCGGACCGTTGTAGAGTGTACATTGTGCAGTGCGTCGTCAAGTTTTATTTTGAGCTTTGAGTTTTATTAATCCTAGTTCGTAGTGCTTCTCCTAATCAGCTCTTTTTAGAGCTTTATATTATTCATTTAAGTTATTTATCATTCCTAAATACATCTGTGGAACAAGTTAACGACGATAATACGGCTCGCTACGCCTCGGGCCTTTACCCGGCGTTTGCCCGCCATATTGAATTACTATTCTCTTTGTGTCGTCATCGTATTATCAACTGCCTTTGTTGTGTTATCGCAATTAATTGCTGTTGCGTATTGCTTCTACTCGTTGACAACATCTAAATTCTATCATGCCTCGAGACCCTGGTTTTGAATCTCATTTCCAACAATTTTCCTCTACCTCAAGATTCTATCGATAGCGATATGGAAATCGATCCTTCAATGGAAATCTTTTCGACACAACAGCCCAAACAAAATCATTCGTCTGACATCCAAACCTCTTCGAACACAGTCGATTCCAAGAATTCAAATTCCAAAACTCTCAAGAGACAAATACACCAAGAGGAAGTCATAGTGCAACCCAAAAAATTCAACACTTCAAAACAGCTTCCAGATACGGCAATGAATAACAAATATTCTAATTGTTGCCAAGGCCCGTTTGAAATTATCGTCACTTCTGTAGGAGAGGTTAACACCTCTCTTCATCCTCTCACAGTGGGCCGTCTCCTCAGCTCTACTTAAAAAAAAAGATATCATTGAAATCAAGAAACTTGGTTTTTCTAAAATATCCGTATTATTCAAATCTCGCGAGGCTGCTAATAATATTATCAGTAATCCTATTCTTAAATCTAATAACCTAATAGCCTACATTCCTTCTTTCAAAGTCTCGAGACAAGGAGTAATTATAAATGTTCCACTTGACCTCACGGAAAGCTTGATCAAGGATGAAATAGACTGTCCGTTTAAGATTTCCTCTGTGCGGAGGCTTAATAGAAAAGCAATTGATCCAACAACAAGATCGGTGAGTTACATTCCATCAAAATCCATTGCTATCACTTTCGAGGGTCAAAGTATTCCACAATATCTTTATTTATATATGATTAGATATGAAATTTCCCCTTTTGTTTCCAAACCCTCTCTTTGTTACTCTTGCTATCGATATAGCCATATAAAAACCCAATGCAGAGGGCAACTACGTTGCTTCCACTGTGGCGACAAATCTCATGAAAGCGATACTCCTTGCCCTTAAAGCGATCAACCACCCTCATGTATTAATTGTAAAGGTCCTCACAAAACCAACGACCTTTCCTGCCCAGAATGGCTCACTCAAAAAAGAATACTAGAATTAGCTGCTTACAAAAATGTCCCTATCCTAGAGGCCAAAAAAATCATTCGCGGATCTAACAACAAAGGGTGTCTTCTGAAATGCGCTGAAAGTACTGACAGTACTGTTTTCGCGTTCCGAAAATGTTTTCAGCATGCTGCAAGAGAATAATAATTACTTTTTAACGAAAATAGGTCCTAGGGACTTGCTGACTTCCGGCTGATTTTGCACATACTCCCGAGGTAGTGCGAGTTCAGTAATGCATATGGCGGTTCGCGGTTTCGTAATACGTGAAATATTGAATCGGAAAAGAAGGAAATAATAATAACAATATGTCATTAAATAAATATAAAATACTTGAAGAAAGTACAAATAATACGTACGAAATATTTTTAACAACAACCGATTACGAGAAAGCATTAGCAGGTAACTTACAATTAATTGAAGAGAATCTTTATGAAAATAAAGTCATAGGAATCTTTAAAAATAAACAGTTATAAATTTATAATTTTAATAATATTTTATTGATATTACAGATAAAAATTTTGTTTCTCGAGTATTAAAAAATATAAAAAGAAGTGGAATGAGTCCAGAGAAAGGAGATGTTGAAGATGTTATGTGTGAACCAGAACAAAGTTATAATAAAGAAAATAATTCAAATAAAAACTTTGAAGATGGTGAAAATTTAGAAACAGGTATTTATATTAAAAATATATTTATTTATTTATATTATAATTTGATAACCTTAACTATATAATTGTTAATGTATTGAATTATTAGCTATTTGGTCTACAAATGCAACATTGTTATTTCTGGCCTTATACCAAGAATATGCACCAGACATAGATAATGGAAAATGCAGTGAAAAACTGTTTTCCAAAAAATATCTAAAAAATTATCAGAAAGCCAATTTGTTGTCTCCCCAAAACAATGCATGACAGAATTAACATCTATGAAAAGAATGTATAAGAAAATAAAGGATCATAATTCTAAGTCTGGAAATGACCGTCAAACGTGGCCATATTGTGAAGTAAGTATTAATATATTTTAATTATCTTCTTTGGTAGCATTAAAACCAGAAAATATTATTATTTTAAATACTTATTTTAAATACTTCTACAGCAAATGGAAGAGGTATTTGGTAAAAAACCATGGGTGAAACCATTATGTACACAGTCATCAACTGAAAATAATTTAGATGAAACAGTAACAGCTACAATTGTTGATGAGCCTTGTAAGTTTTCGTTAAATAAAAAACAATTATTTTATAACTAAATATTTTACGAGATATTTTATTTTTTATATCAAAATATGTCAGATTAAAATATAAAATAACTCAAAAAGTACTTAATGAAAGAATATTTTATTATAGTGTTTTGAAAAGCTCTCGCGGTAAGCTACAAGAATATGTAATAATAAATGGGGAGTTCCATTTAAGAAAACATCGACCGCATTGACCTCACCTTGAAAAGACCACTTAAGGTCAAATCCATATTTTTATCATGTGGCCCCCTCGAAACCATGCAACTTTTGTCTGAAACATTTTTTGATATCTCACTTCGTTTCCAAAAAATATGCCCGCGTCACTATAAATGCCGCACCCTGTATATATACATATATAATATATAATTAAAAACAAATTCATATATCTTTGTACTTTCAGCTGCGAAAAAAACAAAGTTATCAAGTGTTGTTGATAAACATTTGGAAAAGTTATTAGAAATTAAAGAACAAGCAAGACAGGATAAAAAAATTCACCATGAATCAGCAATGCGTCGCCTTGATGCACTAAATCACATATGTTATATAAACTTATTGAGAGAGAGGATAAAAAGTAAACATTTATTATAACGACATATATATATGTTTATATACGACTTTAAACGTGCAATGCATAAAAGTAATGCAATGAGAAGTAAACGGTTCAAATATTCAGTATTATTTTTTCATTAATTATGTTGTCATCTAGTTTTATTTTTGTGTTTTCGCGCTAAGAGTAATCTACGCATATACGACTGTAATGATAGTACTACCAACCAAAGAGGGCGTTATAAAATATATATATATATGTATGTACGAAAATATAGTTGGTTATTCGACAGTTATACTTGCGACTCGTGTACCAGCTGAACCTTGCTTAATAATAAAGTATTACAACAGGTTATGGGCCCAGTCTTATGAGAAAAGTGATGGACAAAGTTTTTTTTTATCTCGGACAAAAAAAAAGACCTGAAAGTAGAGTGTCGTTCTTTGTGTAAAAAGTTTTTTTTTTTTTGAGGTTAACCGCGTGGTTGAAAAGACACAATGGCTAACGAGGACATTAACACAGGCACATTTGGAATAAAGAAGCTTCGCGGTATATCCAACTATCAAGATTGGAAGTTCCAAGTAAGAACCCTGTTGGAACACAGAAATCTGTGGTCGGCAGTCGAACCCGATACGGACGCGCAAGAAGCACCTATTGCCGTGGACGCTGAAAAAGACAGAATAGCATGCACAACTATTTGTCTTTTGGTTGATCCAACGTGTTTCTTAAAGATGCGGCAAGCGACGTCTGTAAAAACGGCCTGGGAAGGCTTGGCTCGAGCGTACGAAGATCGAGGATGGGGCCGGCGAATAAATCTGCAACGTTCCCTGTGGCAATGTAGACTGGAAAATTTTAGTACCATGGATGAATACATAACAAAGGTAATGTCTTTAGCTCATCAATTCGAAAACATTGATGCAAAAGTCTCAGATGATTGGCTTATCTTAATTTTACTGCAAGGTCTGACTCAAGATTACAGACCAACGATAATGGCCATTGATAATTCAGGAACTGCTTTGTCGAGTGAGGAAGTAATTAGTAAATTGCTTCAAGAAGCCAGTGGAGAACATAATTCTGAAGAAAATAAAGTTTCAGAAGAAGCTGCGTTTCTGTCAAGGTCAAAAAGGGGATCGCAATACTGGAGGCTCACAACGGATGGCGAAGAACCAACAAAATAATAAGAAGTTTACGTTTAAATGTTTTAATTGTCATAAGAGTGGGCACAAAGCATCTGAATGTCCAGAGAAAAAGAAGAAAGAACAGCAGAATTCAGGAAATAAAAAAAAAGAAGAAGCAAAGGCATTCTTGTCAGTTTTATCTGTAAATGTTTTTCCTGGTAAATGGTACGTCGATAGCTGCTGCAGCAAACACATGACACCGGACAAGAACAAGATGGTAAATTTCTCTGCGAAGGGCACTGGTCAAATTATAAAAACTGCCAATGATGGAGTCATAGAATGTGCTGGCAGTGGATCAATTCCTTTGCAATTGCCCAATAGTACAGTAACTCAGATAAAGGATGCGCTATATGTGCCAGGATTATCTGCAAATTTACTGTCTGTGAGCAGCGTTGTACAAAAAGGTTTCTGCGTATTGTTTTCAGCGGAAAGAGGATGTGAGTTTTTCCACAAGGAGAGCTGCAGTGTCACGGGTACCGTAGCAGCAAGAGCAAGAAATGTTGGAGGAATCTATCAACTAGAAACAGAAGAAGGCAGTAAGGAGACGTCCCAGGAAGCTTATTTTTCAACTGAATCTGCACCGAAGAATAAAATGACGGACCATACACAAAGTCGTTTTGAATCACGAGATCTTTGGCACAAAAGATTAGGACACCTGAATAGACAAGGTATGCATATTATAAAAATGATTGCTACAGGTGTGAATTTTTCAGATCAAGAAAAAAGTGAGCAATGTGTTTCCTGCCTCACTGGAAAAATGTGCCGAACACCTTTTAAAGAAAAAGGGACAAGAGCTACAACATTGCTCGAATTGATCCATTCAGATATCTGTGGGCCTATGGAGACGATAGCGTTTGGAGGATATAGATATTTCCTTACATTAATAGACGACTATTTAAGGAAAATAATTGTCTACTTCTTGAAGAATAAATCTGAAGTCGCAAGCACTTTTGAAGTTTTTAAAGCAATGGTGGAAAAGGAAATTGGTCAAGTCATCAAATGTCTACGTTCAGACAACGGAGGTGAATATTGCAGTACGTTTTTCAAAGAGTTCTTAAAGAAGAATGGAATAAAGCATCAGAAGACTGTGCCTTACACGCCCCAGCAGAATGGAACTGCAGAGCGGGCGAATCGCTCTATCGTTGAAAAGGCAAGATCTTTGTTAAATGAAGCTGGTTTGGATAAACGCTTCTGGTGTGAAGCAGTTAACACTGCAGTTTACTTGCTGAATAGGTCACCAACGAGAGCGCTTTACAAAGCAGTTCCAGAGCAGATGTGGACTGGAAAGGAGGTGGATTTGAGACATCTTAAAGTATTTGGATGTTCCGCTTACGTTTACATACCAAAAGAAAAGCGTCAAAAATTAGATCCAAAGTGTCGCAGAATGATTTTCGTTGGCTATTGTACCGAAACCAAAGGCTATCGCCTAATGGATTTAGATGGAAACCTATGTCGAGCGAGAGATGTTGCTTTCATCGAGAACAATTTTCCTGCAAATTCAAAAGTTTTTTCGAAGAATGAGATGCAGCGCGAGACCGAGGTGGTACAAATTTTGTTTGACGAAACTACATTTCAAGATAAGAATGAACATAATCAAGAGAACGAGAACAACAATGAAGAAAACAACAATGAAGATAACGTAATAGATGTCAACTCGGAAGAGGAAAGTGACACAATGTCAACGTTATACGAATCGATAAAATCAACTGATAGTAATTTGTCCTTGAACGAATCTGAAAATAATGATCTCCAGGATGAAGTCACAACTAGTGAAGAGTTAAATCCTCAAGAACGACGGTATCCAATTCGAGAGAGAAAAGCGAAAGAATCTCCAGATCATATATTATATAGTGCCATATGTTACGAGGAACCTAAATCTGTGTCTGAGGCATTATCAAGCGAAGATAAGGATAAGTGGGTGCAGGCCATGCACGATGAACTTGCATCCTTAGAAGAGAACAACGTGTGGACATTGACAGACCTACCCCCTGGAAAGAAGTTAATTCAAAACAAGTGGGTATTCAAAATAAAAAGAGACAGCGATGGAAATGTGACAAGGTTCAAGACACGGCTGGGGGCTACAGGCTTTACTCAAAAATATGGGATCGACTACTATGAAACTTTTTCGCCAGTGGTAAGAAGTTCGACCTTAAGAATCCTGTTTTCGATGGCGGTAGAATTTGATTGGGAAATAGATCATTGGGATGTAACAACAGCCTTTTTATACGGAGACCTAAGAGAAAAAGTGTATATGCATCAACCCGAAGGAATGCTAACACCAGGAAAAGAAAATAAAGTGTGTAGGCTGAACAAGTCCTTGTATGGCCTGAAACAATCATCTCGAGCCTGGTACCAAAAACTTGATGCAGAATTAAAATTGCTTGGTTTCAAACAATCAGATCATGAACCTTGTATTTATATCAAATCAAGGAATAAATGTACATTGATCGTGGCTGTATTTGTAGACGACATTTTTCTTTTTGGAAGTGACTGTCAAGAAAAGAAGAAACTCAAGATTAATTTGACGAATAAATTCAAGGTCAAGGACCTAGGAAATGCTCGTCACGTCTTAGGAATACGAGTAAGAAGAGAGAAGAATGAAATTCGTCTGGATCAAAGTAATTACATTTCTTACGTGTTGGAAAAGTTTAGGATGACGGACTGCAAGCTTGTGACAACCCTGTTAGAGGTAGGGTCGAAACTGCAAAAGAGAAAGTGTGAAATTGATTTTCCATATCAATCATTAGTTGGATGTTTGATGTATATCGCAATAAACACAAGGCCAGACATTGCACATGCCGTCAGTTTCCTGTCACAGTTCAATTCATGCTACGATGAAGAGCACGTGAAGAGTGCAAAACGAGTACTACGCTATTTAAAAGGGACCATAAATGAATGTCTGTTCTTCAAGAAGCCTAATAAAGAAAAATCTGACCCAGTGATCAACGGATATGTAGACGCCGATTGGGGAAACGACGTGTCAGACCGACGATCGTATACTGGATATGTCTTTAAATTAAATGAAAATTTAGTATCATGGGAGAGCAGGAAGCAGCAGTGTGTTGCTCTTTCAAGCACTGAAGCTGAGTATATCGGACTAACAAGTGGTGCAAAAGAGGGCATTTACTTACGCAGCTTAATATATGAATTATATGGCAAATCAGTACCTGTTGTCTTACATAATGATAATCAGTCGGCTCAAAAGTTGGCAAGTCACAAGATGTTTCATCCAAGAACGAAACATATTGATGTGAGACATCATTACAGCAGAAAAGTTGTGGATATGGGTGCAATCAAGTTGGAGTATCTATCTACGGACAAAATGGTGGCTGATATATTGACCAAGCCGCTTCATGGACCAAAGACAAAGTTACTGAGGAAACAATTATGTTTGTTTTCAGAAGGACTAAATCTAACATTTGTATGAACGTTTCTAATGTTATGTTTATTTTATTTTTGACTGTATCTGTGTTGGATTTTGTTCTTGTTTCTTTTTGTGTTTATGTTATTTTTGTATGCGCATGGATTAAAGCAGGGTGTTGTCATTTAGTTTTATTTTTGTGTTTTCGCGCTAAGAGTAATCCACGCATATACGACTGTAATGATAGTACTACCAACCAAAGAGGGCGTTATATAATGTATATATGTATGTACGAAAATATGTTTAGTTATTCGACAGTTATGCTTGCGACTCGTGTACCAGCTGAACCTTGCTTAATAATAAAGTATTACAACAAATTTAAGGTATTTTTTTGTAATCGATAAGTTAATATTTTAGTTTTATTTTTTTCCACTAATAGGTGTTGTTATACAAAAAGTATCTTTTGTTCTGTGATGTTTTTTTTCTCTATATATGTAATATTTTTAGTTAAGTTTAGAAAGATAAAAACTATATTATCTAAAAAATTTGAATTGCATATGTATGATCTTAAAGCAGAGTACAAATTTGATTACCATTATAATTGTTTTAGTTAAGTAGAAAAATTACTAACTATATTGTAAAAAAAAGTTGAAATACATAATAGGATGTTTGTCAGTGTACAAGAATATGTATGACTTTAAAATAGAATATAACGTTTTATTCCAAAAGTAAAGCATATAATAAAAAAAAAACAATACTTATAATACGAATGCAAATTTATTTTATACCATATCTTATATAATTAAACATATTACATACATATGTTAGTTATATATACAGGGTGTCTCACAACCTCCGTACAATACTTTAATAGTGTATTCTAGAGATAAAACAGAGTCAAAAATTCTAATACAAAAATTTTGAGGCTGCAATAGTTTTTGAGTTATAAGCGATCAAACTCTGCCAATGATATCGCGTAGAGCCCCGCGCTCAGATCTGTAACTACACATACACGCGTACTGATCTCTGTCATCTATTATTGATTTTACGAATCAGGTAATATCGATTTTTACTGCACAGCTGATTTTATTGTTTCTTATGTGAAATATAAACTTAATATTTTCACACATCTAAGAAACGAATTTTATTTTTGTTTTGATCGCGCGGAGGTCTTTTGAAAATTAATTTATTTATTTTATCTGTCAGCAATAACAGATGACAGATCAGTACGTGTGTAAATGTAGTTACGAGCTTGAGGGCGCAAAGTCTACGCAATATTATTGACAAACTTTGATCACTTATAACTCAAAAACTATTGTAGCCTCGATATTTTTGTATTAAAATTTTTTACTCCATTTTGCCTCTAGAATACGTTATTAAAATATTGTACGGAGGTTGTGAGACACCCTGTATATATAGCTATCATATTTATAATGAGTAAATCATGAAATAACATAAATATGCTTTGCTGCAAATATGAAACGCTACTATAATACAAATATGAAACAAGCAATATATTTTTATTCTTGCTATTATAGCATCATTGAGATTATTGAGATTATTATTTATTATAATTTTATACAAAGAGTATCTTTTATTCTGTCACGTTTTTCTTTTCCCTGTATATGTAACAAGTTATTTATATTTATGTTTTCTACATTATTTTGTATTACATCTTCCACTATTAAAGGGATTTCAATCATATCGTTCCTCATTATACAAATGTTATGTAAAACACAACACGCCATGATGTATTTTGGAATTAAATCAGTTCTTTTCATCGGTAATTTGTCAAGTAAGATTCTAAATCGTGCTTTTAAAAGACCAATACAACTTTCTACGACCATTCTTGTAGAGGATAAGCAATAATTGAAATTTTTGTTTCTTTCTGTTAATTGACCATTATCTTTATATGGTACGATCATAGACATAGTATATCTAGACCGAGTGTTGAGGAGTGGGAGCCGAGGTGCACGTAGAAAAGGACATACTCTGTTTCGTGCACTATGTCTATGGGTACGAGCAAAGTTTCTAATATAGTATAAGCAGCATCACCAATTAAGTGAGTATTTGGAAATTTTGTTGGATCATTGCAAAAATCTTGTAACCCTGATACATGAAATACTCTTTGGTCATGTACGGAACCAGGATAGCCTACATAACAATGTATTAACTCCATTTTATGATTACATACAACCTGCAATTAAGATTATTTATTAAATATAACCACATTATATATATATATATATATATATATATATATATATATTTCATTTGGCTATGTTCGACTT